CGAGAACAAGTGTCTAGCGAGTGCAGAATTGCGAGAACAAGTGTCTAGCGAGTGCAGAATTGCAAGAACAAGTGTCTAGTGAGTGCAGAATTGCGAGAACAAGTGTCTAGCGAGTGCAGAATTGCGAGAACAAGTGTCTAGCGAGTGCAGAATTGCGAGAACAAGTGTCTAGCGAGTGCAGAATTGCAAGAACAAGTGTCTAGCGAGTGCAGAATTGCGAGAACACTTGTCTAGCGAGTGCAGAATTGCGAGAACAAGTGTCTAGCGAGTGCAGAATTGCGAGAACAAGTGTCTAGCGAGTGCAGAATTGCGAGAACAAGAGACTAGCGAGTGCAGAATTGCGAGAACAAGTGTCTAGCGAGTGCAGAATTGCGAGAACAAGTGTCTAGCGAGTGCAAAATTGCAAGAACAAGTGTCTAGCGAGTGCAGAATTGCAAGAACAAGTGTCTAGCGAGTGCAGAATTGCGAGAACAAGTGTCTAGCGAGTGCAGAATTGCGAGAACAAGTGTCTAGCGAGTGCAGAATTGCAAGAACAAGTGTCTAGCGAGTGCAGAATTGCGAGAACAAGTGTCTAGCGAGTGCAGAATTGCAAGAACAAGTGTCTAGCGAGTGCAGAATTGCAAGAACAAGTGTCTAGCGAGTGCAGAATTGCGAGAACAAGTATCTAGCGAGTGCAGAATTGCGAGAACAAGTATCTAGCGAGTGCAAAATTGCGAGAACAAGTGTCTAGCGAGTGCAGAATTGCGAGAACAAGTGTCTAGCGAGTGCAGAATTGCGAGAACAAGTGTCTAGCGAGTGCAGAATTGCGAGAACAAGTTTTTAGCGAGTGCAGAATTGCGAGAACAAGTGTCAAGCGAGTGCAGAATTGCGAGAACAAGTGTCTAGCGAGTGCAGAATTGCAAGAACAAGTGTCTAGCGAGTGCAGAATTGCGAGAACAAGTGTCTAGCGAGTGCAGAATTGCGAGAACAAGTGTCTAGCGAGTGCAGAATTGGGAGAATAAGAGACTAGCGAGTGTAGAATTGCGAGAACAAGTGTCTAGCGAGTGCAGAATTGCGAGAACAAGTGTCTAGCGAGTGCAGAATTGCGAGAACAAGTGTCTAGCGAGTGCAGAATTGCGAGAACAAGTGTCTAGCGAGTGCAAAATTGCAAGAACAAGTGTCTAGTGAGTGCAGAATTGCAAGAACAAGTGTCTAGCGAGTGCAAAATTGCGAGAACAAGTGTCTAGCGAGTGCAAAATTGCGAGAACAAATGTCTAGCGAGTGCAGAATTGCGAGAACAAGTGTCTAGCGAGTGCAGAATTGCGAGAACAAGTGTCAAGCGAGTGCAGAATTGCGAGAACAAGTGTCTAGCGAGTGCAGAATTGCGAGAACAAGTGTCTAGCGAGTGCAGAATTGCGAGAACAAGTGTCTAGCGAGTGCAAAATTGAAAGAACAACTATCTAGCGAGTGCATAATTGCGAGAACAAGTTTCTAGCGAGTGCAGAATTGCGAGAACAAGTGTCTAGCGAGTGCAGAATTGCGAGAACAAGTATCTAGCGAGTGCAAAATTTCGAGAACAAATGTCTAGCGAGTGCAGAATTGCGAGAACAAGTGTCTAGCGAGTGCAGAATTGCAAGAACAAGTGTCTAGCGAGTACGGGAGTGCGAGAAAAAGTGTCTAGCGAGTGCAGAATTGCAAGAACAAGTGTCTAGCGAGTGCAGAATTGCGAGAACAAGTCTCTAACGAGTGCAAAATTGCGAGAACAAGTGTCTAGCGAGTGCAGAATTGCGAGAACAAGTGTCTAGCGAGTGCAGGTTTGCGAAAACAAGTGTCTAGCGAGTGCAAAATTGAAAGAACAAGTGTCTAGCGAGTGCAGAATTGCGAGAACAAGTGTCTAGCGAGTGCAGAATTGCGAGAACAAGTGTCTAGCGAGTGCAGAATTGCAAGAACAAGTGTCTAGTGAGTGCAGAATTGCGAGAACAAGTGTCTAGCGAGTGCAGAATTGCGAGAACAAGTGTCTAGCGAGTGCAGAATTGCGAGAACAAGTGTCTAGCGAGTGCAGAATTGCGAGAACAAGTGTCTAGCGAGTGCAGAATTGCAAGAACAAGTGTCTAGCGAGTGCAGAATTGCGAGAACACTTGTCTAGCGAGTGCAGAATTGCGAGAACAAGTGTCTAGCGAGTGCAGAATTGCGAGAACAAGTGTCTAGCGAGTGCAGAATTGCGAGAACAAGAGACTAGCGAGTGCAGAATTGCGAGAACAAGTGTCTAGCGAGTGCAGAATTGCGAGAACAAGTGTCTAGCGAGTGCAGAATTGCAAGAACAAGTGTCTAGCGAGTGCAGAATTGCAAGAACAAGTGTCTAGCGAGTGCAGAATTGCGAGAACAAGTGTCTAGCGAGTGCAGAATTGCGAGAACAAGTGTCTAGCGAGTGCAGAATTGCAAGAACAAGTGTCTAGCGAGTGCAGAATTGCGAGAACAAGTGTCTAGCGAGTGCAGAATTGCAAGAACAAGTGTCTAGCGAGTGCAGAATTGCAAGAACAAGTGTCTAGCGAGTGCAGAATTGCGAGAACAAGTGTCTAGCGAGTGCAGAATTGCGAGAACAAGTATCTAGCGAGTGCAAAATTGCGAGAACAAGTGTCTAGCGAGTGCAGAATTGCGAGAACAAGTGTCTAGCGAGTGCAGAATTGCGAGAACAAGTGTCTAGCGAGTGCAGAATTGCGAGAACAAGTGTCTAGCGAGTGCAGAATTGCAAGAACAAGTGTCTAGCGAGTGCAGAATTGCGAGAACAAGTGTCTAGCGAGTGCAGAATTGCAAGAACAAGTGTCTAGCGAGTGCAGAATTGCGAGAACAAGTGTCTAGCGAGTGCAGAATTGCGAGAACAAGTGTCTAGCGAGTGCAGAATTGGGAGAATAAGAGACTAGCGAGTGCAGAATTGCGAGAACAAGTGTCTAGCGAGTGCAGAATTGCGAGAACAAGTGTCTAGCGAGTGCAGAATTGCGAGAACAAGTGTCTAGCGAGTGCAGAATTGCGAGAACAAGTGTCTAGCGAGTGCAAAATTGCAAGAACAAGTGTCTAGTGAGTGCAGAATTGCAAGAACAAGTGTCTAGCGAGTGCAAAATTGCGAGAACAAGTGTCTAGCGAGTGCAAAATTGCGAGAACAAATGTCTAGCGAGTGCAGAATTGCGAGAACAAGTGTCTAGCGAGTGCAGAATTGCGAGAACAAGTGTCTAGCGAGTGCAGAATTGCAAGAACAAGTGTCTAGCGAGTGCAGAATTGCGAGAACAAGTGTCTAGCGAGTGCAGAATTGCAAGAACAAGTGTCTAGCGAGTGCAGAATTGCGAGAACAAGTGTCTAGCGAGTGCAGAATTGCGAGAACAAGTGTCTAGCGAGTGCAGAATTGCAAGAACAAGTGTCTAGCGAGTGCAGAATTGCAAGAACAAGTGTCTAGCGAGTGCAGAATTGCGAGAACAAGTGTCAAGCGAGTGCAGAATTGCGAGAACAAGTGTCTAGCGAGTGCAGAATTGCAAGAACAAGTGTCTAGCGAGTGCAAAATTGCGAGAACAAGTGTCTAGCGAGTGCAGAATTGCGAGAACAAGTGTCTAGCGAGTGCAGAATTGCAAGAACAAGTGTCTAGCGAGTGCAGAATTGCGAGAACAAGTGTCAAGCGAGTGCAGAATTGCGAGAACAAGTGTCTGTTAAACTGTATTATGCTTGTAGGCTGTAGTGGGGTAGCCAATATGGGGTACAACCCCAACTAGGGTTTGCTACTTGTACCCAACTGTTTCATTCAATGCATCATTCTTGCCTAGTGATTCTGACATGGTATTCAGAGCAGGAGGTCCCTAGGACCTATCGACCGTTTCTTTTAAGGGCCCACCACCGCTCGCATGCGGTTACCACGCTACCCCGTGCCCTAGCCTCGTAGCGCCCTCGTGCGCCCACGTTAGCGCCCTCGCGCGCCCCTCGTTAGCGCCCTCGCGCGCACCCTCGTTAGCGCCCTCGCGCGCCCCTTCGTTAGCGCCCTCGCGCGCCCCTTCGTTAGCGCCCTCGCGCGCCCCTTTGCTAGCGCCCTCGCGCGCCCCTCACTAGCGCCCTCGCGCGCCCCTCGCCGAGCCGCCCGCTCGCAGCCCGCCCGCCCGCTCGCTGCCCGCTTCGCGGCCCGCTCACTACGCAGCCCGCCCGCCCGCTCGCTGCCCGCTTCGCGGCCCGCTCGCTCGCTGCCCGCTTCGCGGCCCGCTCGCTACGCAGCCCGCCCGCTCGCTGCCCGCTTCGCGGCCCGCCCACTTCGCAGCCCGCCCGCCCGCTCGCTGCCCGCTTCGCGGCCCGCCCGCCTCGCAGCCCGCTCGCCCCGCTGCCCGCTTCGCGGCCCGCCCGCCTCGCAGCCCGCTCGCCCCGCTGCCCGCTTCGCAGCCCGCCCGCCCGCCCGCTGCCAGCTTCGCGGCCCGCCCGCCTCGCAGCGTCGCCCGCCCGCCGTGCTGCCCGCTTGCAGCGCCGCCTGCCCGCCGCGCTGCCCGCTTCCCGGCCCGTCCGCCGCGCTGCCCACTCGCAGCGTCGCCCTCCCGTCGCGCTGACCGCTTGCAGCGCCGCCTGCCCGTAGCGCCAGCCTCGCCCGCTGCTCTCTTTCCGTGCACTGTCGCCTTCCCCTGCTGCGGCATCTTGCGTTACTCTGTCACACTGTCGCTATGGCTTCTATCCGCGTGCTGTCGTTCGATGCTGAGGGCCGCCCTGTGCGGTTCACCGCTTGGCTAGATGACCTGCAGCTGTTCCTCCTGAGCGATAGCAAGGAGCATGTGTCGCTCTATGACTACGCGTCTGGTGCTGCGCCTGCCCCTCCTGCCACAGCTGAGCTTAGTGTTCGTTCCCACTGGCAGACTCGTGACGCAGCTGCTCGCCTAGCCATTCGCAGTCACCTGCCGTTAGCTGAGCTAGAGCATTTTGGCGACTGCAAATCCGCTAAGGCCCTGTACGACGCTGTCGTCGCTCGCTACTCCTCGCCTGCCACAGCCGAGCTTAGCCGCCTCATGCTGCCGTACCTGTTCCCCGATCTGTCCACCTTTACTACAGTCGCCGATCTTATCACCCACCTTCGCACTAGTGATGCTCGCCTGCGTGCCGCCCTTCCCACCGAGTTCTGCGCTAAGAACCCCCCTCCACTGTACTGGACACTCCACTTTATAGTCACTCGTCTCCCTGACACCCTCCGCTCAGTTCGAGACCACTTCCTTGCTCGCTGTCCCACTGAGCTCACAGTCGCCCTCCTAGAGGAGCACCTGCTCGCGGCCGAAAAGAGCATTGTAGCTGTCGGTGCTGCTCGTGGCGCTCCTCGCACCCCCATCTTTGAGGGGTGTTCTCCCTCTCCCCTCGCTCCCTCCTACGCTGCTGCTGCTGCTGTTGACTTCCTTGGTGCTGAGTCTGTTGGCGCTGCTTCTGCTCCTGGTGGGAGGCGCCGCACCGGCAAGGGCAAGGGGGGCAAGGGTGGTGGTGGTGGCGCTGGGGGAGGAGGTGGGGGAGGTGGGGGGGGAGGCGGTGCTGGAGGGAGCGGTGGCGGGAGCGCTGGTGGGAGTGGGGTCGGTGGTGGAGACGGGGGCGGCGGAGGAAGCAGTGGCAGTAGTGGCGGCGGCGGCGGTGGCGGCGGTGGCGGTGGTGGCGGTGGTGGCGGTGCCGGTCGGAGCGGTGGTAGTGGTGGCGGTGGAGGTCGGAGTGGAGGCACTGGCTCGGGCCAGAGCTCCCAGCAGCAGCAGCGTCCCCAGACGACCCAGCAGCTTCGTGAGTGGCTTGCTCAGCGTGGGACGTCGGGGGCCAGTGCCCGCTGTTCTTATGTCATTCGCACAGGTGACCGCAAGGGACAGACGTGTGGGAGGTTCCACACCCCGTACCGCTGCTTCTCCCGCCTTGACGACGCTTGGCGTGAGGAGATGGGTGCGGATGTTGAGCGCCCCCGCTGGGCTGAGCTCATGAGGGCTGGTGTTGATGTCTTTGCTCTTGACTATGATGCTATTATTGCTGCCATGTATGCATTGACTGTTAGTGCCGAGGGAGACTGTTACTTGTGTGTGCCGCCTGACCCAGGTATAGAGCCCGCTGCCCTGGGTACTAGTGAGTCTGCTCTCTCTGGTATGGTACCCCCTGTACTTGCTCCCCCCAGTGCTGTCCCGGCTGGTTTCGAGTCTGCTCTCTCAGGTACAGCACCCACACAGACTCCTCTCTCAGGTACCGCACCGGCTGAGGCCTGTCACACCTTCACCCTTGACTCAGGTGCTTCCCGTTGCTTCTTTCGTGACAGTACTGAGCTCACACCGCTTCCTGCACCGGTCCCAGTCTCCTTGGCTGACCCCTCTGGGGGCCCAGTCCTTGCCCAGTCCACCACTGTCCTCCCTTGTCCGGCGGTTCCGTCTGGCTCGTTGTCGGGTTTCCACCTCCCCTCGTTCTCGACGAACCTGGTGAGCAACGCTGTCCTCCAGGATCAGTGGGTTGACACCTTTACCCCTGGCGGACAGCGTGTGGCGATCTGCACGTGCTCCAGGACTGGCCGTCACCTGGCTACGTTCACCCGTCGGCCGGGGTCGAGTCTCTACACACTGACCACTGCGTCTCCCCAGGTAGCTGCTGTCGGTCAGGTGTCTGCGTCAGGTCTGGTGGCCCACGCCTGTGAGTGTCGTTCCCTGTCGCACCAGACTCTTCTCTGGCACCACCGCCTGGGTCACCCCTCCTTGCCACGCCTTCGTGGCATGCACCGTCGCCTCCTTGTGTCCGGTCTTCCCAGGTCCCTCCCTCCCCTCCCTGCCTCGCCTGCGCCGCCTTGCCTTCCTTGCGTCGAGGGGCGGCAGCGCGCCGCTCCTCACTCCTCCTCGTTCCCCCCGACAGAGGCTCCTCTGGAGACCCTCCACCTGGACGTGTGGGGCCCAGCCCGCGTTCGTGGTCAGGGCGGTGAGCGGTACTTTCTGCTGGTTGTTGACGACTACTCGCGTTACACCACGGTCTTCCCCTTGCGCACCAAGGGTGAGGTCCCTGCTGTTCTGATCCCTTGGATCCGCACGGTTCGTCTCCAGCTCCGCCGCCGTTTCCGGACGGATCTTCCTGTCCTGCGTCTGCACTCTGACAGAGGTGGTGAGTTTTCCTCCGATCTTCTGAGGACCTTCTGTCAGGCAGAGGGCATCGAGCAGACCTTCACGCTTCCGGACTCCCCACAGCAGAATGGGGTTGCTGAGCGCCGCATTGGCCTGGTCATGGAGATCGCTCGTACCTCCTTGGTCCACGCGGCGGCTCCCCATTTTCTGTGGCCGTTTGCTGTCCGGTACGCCGCGCATCAGCTCAACCTCTGGCCCCGTGTCTCCTTGCCGGAGACCTCGCCCACACTGCGTTGGACGGGGGAGGTTGGCGATGCGTCGCGCTTCCGGGTGTGGGGTGCTCGTGCCCTTGTCCGCGATACGTCCGCGGACAAGCTCTCCTCCCGCACGCTTCCCTGTGTCTTCCTTGGCTTTGTCCCTGACGCGCCTGGCTGGCAGTTTTACCACCCCACCTCGCGCCGGGTCTTCGCCTCTCAGGATGTCACCTTTGACGAGTCGGTCCCTTTTTACCGTCTCTTCCCCTACCGCACTGCCCCCCTCCCTCCCCCGCCGCTTTTCCTTGCTCCTGGTCCCCCTCCGGTAGACCCCCTTCCCCCTCAGGGTCCTGCTCCTTCAGGTGTCTCTCAAGTAGACCCTCCTCCCGTCGCTGAGCCTGTCGAGGTCACAGGTGACTCAGGTGCTGCTGCGGGTGGTGCTGCTGGGAGTGCTGAGCCTGGGGGTGCTGAGCCTGGGGGTGCTGGGCCTGGGGGTGCTGGGGCTGCAGGTGCTGGGACTGAGGGTGCTGGAGCTGAGGGTACTGTGCCTGAGAGTACGGAGCCTGGGGGTGCTGCGCCTGGGGGTGCTGAGCCTGCGGGTGCGGGGCCTGGGAGTGCTGGGACTGAGGGTGCTGGAGCTGAGGGTACTGTGCCTGAGAGTTTGCCGCCTGGGGGTGCTGAGCCTGGGGGTGCTGCGACTGGGGGTGCTGAGCCTGCGGGTACTGAGCCTGCGGGTACTGAGCCTGGGGGTGCTGCTACTGAGCCTACGGAGCCTCGGGTTACTGCGTCTGGGGGTGCTCCGGTTCGGGGTGCTGAGCAGTCTCTCACACCGCAGCAGCTTCGTGACTGGTACGTCCGACGCTTTCGCCGTCCTAGTGGCTCGGCTGGAGTTGGGGGTACTGGAGCTGCTCGTTCTGGGAGCACTGCGACTGGAGCTGCTGGAGCTGGGGACTCTGGCGCTGGCGGTGCTAGCGGAGTTGGAGCTGCCGACTCTGGGGGTGGCGCTGCTGCTGGTGCTGCGGACCCACCTGGTGGAGCTGCTGCTGGAGCTGGGGACCCGGCCGGTGGAGCTGCTGCTGGTGCTGTGGACCCGGACGCTGGAGCTCCTACTGGTGCTGAGGACCCGGCCGCTGGAGTCCCTTCTGCTTCTGGAGACGCTGCGCGGCCGCGACCGTACTTCGTACCGCTCCTTCAGCAGGTTCTTGGGCAGGCTCCTCCTCCTTGTCCTCCTCCCTCCGTAGAGTGTCCTCCGCCTGTCCAGCCGCAGTCACAGTTACCGCCTGCCTCGCCTCTCCCTGCTCCCTCTCCTTATACTGGTCCCACAGGAGGTCTTACAGAGCGTCGTGAGCCTGAGTCTCGTCCTGTGTCGCCTGTTCGTCCTGCTCGCACTGGTAGTCGTGTCCGTCGTGAGCGTCCTCCTCCTGTCCCAGGCACTCACTACATGACTCTGCGTCCCTCTACTGCTCCTCGGCGTGTCCCTCTACCGTCTCCTCCTGCGTCCTCGTTGCCTGCCGTTCCGGACCCTGAGTCTGACCGGTATCGCGCTGAGCACCCTACAGTCACGCGTCTCCTCGCTACTGTTGTCACTGACCCTACCTTTGAGTCCTCGGCTGCGTCTGCTCTGGTCGCTGAGTTGGTTGACTTTGCTGCTGCCTGTCGTCTAGACTACGCTGCTAGCCTTGTCGCTGAGTCAGAGTCTGCGTCTGTCTGTCCTCCGTCCGTCGGGGGTGAGTGTGCTCTTGGCACGGACGTCCTTGAGGACAGGCAGGAGGACTTTGACTCTCTTGCGGCTGCTGTACCTCATCTCGTGGCCTGGTTGCTTGCCCCTGAGGGAGACCCGGATGCACTAGACATCCCCACTCCGCGCACTTACGCAGAGGCGATCTCGGGTCCCTACTCCTCTCAGTGGCAGACAGCCATGGACGCAGAGATGGCATCCTGGAAGTCCACAGGCACCTACGTCGACGAGGTTCCCCCTCCTGGGGCGAACATCGTCGATGGCATGTGGATTTTCAGGGTGAAGCGGCCGCCAGGTTCTCCGCCTGTCTTCAAGGCTCGTTACGTTGCTAGAGGCTTCAGTCAGCGTCAGGGGGTCGACTTCTTCCAGACCTTCTCCCCCACCCCGAAGATGACCACTCTTCGGGTTCTGCTGCACGTTGCTGCTCAGCGTGACTACGAGCTTCACTCTCTTGACTTCAGCACAGCGTTCCTGCAGGGCAGCCTGCACGAGGAGATCTGGCTGCGCCGCCCACCTGGCTTTACTGGGTCGTTTCCCCCTGGTACTCAGTGGAGTCTCCGCCGGCCAGTCTACGGTCTCCGCCAGGCGCCACGTGAGTGGCACGACACACTGAGGACTACTCTTGCGGCTCTTGGGTTCGCGCCGTCTACTGCTGACCCGTCACTGTTTCTGCGCACTGACACGTCGCTGCCGCCGTTCTACATCCTCGTGTACGTTGACGACTTGGTCTTTGCTACTGCTGACACTGAGGCACTCGCTCGTGTGAAGTCGGAGCTGCAGAAGAGACACACCTGCACTGACCTGGGTGAACTGCGTAGCTACCTTGGCTTGCAGATCACCCGGGACAGAGCCCGTCGCACCATCACCCTGACTCAGTCACACATGGTGCAGCAGGTCCTTCAGCGCTTCGGCTTCCAGTTCTCCTCACCACAGGCCACACCTCTGGCTACCAGCCACTCACTCTCAGCTCCACCTTCGGACGAGTCCGTAGAGCCGAGTGGCCCGTACCCAGAGCTTGTAGGCTGCCTCATGTACCTGATGACTTGCACGCGACCTGACCTCGCGTACCCTCTTAGCATCCTTGCTCGTTACGTTGCGCCTGGGAGACACAGGCGAGAGCACTGGGAGGCTGCTAAGAGGGTGCTGCGGTACCTGTGCAGTACATCAGGCATGGGGCTGGTGCTTGGAGGACGCGACAGAGTTGTCCTCACTGGTCACTCGGACGCCTCTTGGGTGGACGACCTGGCTACGCAGCGGTCGTCACAGGGTTACACCTTCAGCCTTGGCTCAGGTTCTGTCTCGTGGCGGTCCACCCGCTCTTCCTCTGTTCTCGGCTCTAGTTGTGAGGCTGAGATCTACGCCACAGCCATGGCTGCACAGGAGTTACGCTGGCTCACCTACCTGCTGACTGACTTGGGAGAGCGGCCTAGTTCTCCTCCAGTTCTGTACGGTGACAACAAGGCGGCTCTTGCCTTGTGTCAGGAGCACAGACTGGAGCACAGGACGAAGCACATTGCTCTTCGCTACTTTCTTGCTCGAGAGCTTCAGCAGCGCGGTCAGCTTCGACTTGTGTACGTGGACTCGAAGGCCAACACTGCTGATATCTTCACCAAGGCGCTCCCGCCTAGTGATCATCAGCGGCACTGTACTTCTTTAGGCCTTGTGTCCACGTTTCCTCACTTGCTCACTGCTTGACATTCTTTGTACTGTACTTTATATATATCTTGTTGCTTACTTGCTAGGTTTTTGATCACTGTGTTGCTTGTCTTGTACTATATCTAGCACTGCATGTGAACTGGCCTTGTGGCCTTTACTTGTGCTCGGAGTGTGGTGACGTTGTGATCCACCCTGGGCTTTGTTTTGCTTTGCTGGACTGGTCTTGTGACCCTTTGTTCTCCCCCACTTTGCCTATGGGGGTGTGTTAAACTGTATTATGCTTGTAGGCTGTAGTGGGGTAGCCAATATGGGGTACAACCCCAACTAGGGTTTGCTACTTGTACCCAACTGTTTCATTCAATGCATCATTCTTGCCTAGTGATTCTGATAGTGTCTAGCGAGTGCAGAATTGTGAGAACAAGTGTCTAGCGAGTGCAGAATTGCGAGAACAAGTGTCTAGCGAGTGCAAAATTGAAAGAACAACTATCTAGCGAGTGCATAATTGCGAGAACAAGTTTCTAGCGAGTGCAGAATTGCGAGAACAAGTGTCTAGCGAGTGCAGAATTGCGAGAACAAGTATCTAGCGAGTGCAAAATTGCGAGAACAAATGTCTAGCGAGTGCAGAATTGCGAGAACAAGTGTCTAGCGAGTGCAGAATTGCAAGAACAAGTGTCTAGCGAGTACAGAACTGCGAGAAAAAGTGTCTAGCGAGTGCAAAATTGCGAGAACAAGTGTCTAGCGAGTGCAGAATTGCGAGAACAAGTGTCTAGCGAGTGCAGGTTTGCGAGAACAAGTGTCTAGCGAGTGCAAAATTGAAAGAACAAGTGTCTAGCGAGTGCAGAATTGCGAGAACAAGTGTCTAGCGAGTGCAGAATTGCGAGAACAAGTGTCTAGCGAGTGCAGAATTGCAAGAACAAGTGTCTAGTGAGTGCAGAATTGCGAGAACAAGTGTCTAGCGAGTGCAGAATTGCGAGAACAAGTGTCTAGCGAGTGCAGAATTGCAAGAACAAGTGTCAAGCGAGTGCAGAATTGCGAGAACAAGTGTCTAGCGAGTGCAGAATTGCGAGAACAAGTGTCTAGCGAGTGCAGAATTGCGAGAACAAGTGTCTAGCGAGTGCAGAATTGCGAGAACAAGAGACTAGCGAGTGCAGAATTGCGAGAACAAGTGTCTAGCGAGTGCAGAATTGCGAGAACAAGTGTCTAGCGAGTGCAGAATTGCGAGAACAAGTGTCTAGCGAGTGCAGAATTGCAAGAACAAGTGTCTAGCGAGTGCAGAATTGCGAGAACAAGTGTCTAGCGAGTGCAGAATTGCGAGAACAAGTGTCTAGCGAGTGCAGAATTGCAAGAACAAGTGTCTAGCGAGTGCAGAATTGCGAGAACAAGTGTCTAGCGAGTGCAGAATTGCAAGAACAAGTGTCTAGCGAGTGCAGAATTGCGAGAACAAGTGTCTAGCGAGTGCAGAATTGCGAGAACAAGTGTCTAGCGAGTGCAGAATTGCGAGAACAAGTGTCTAGCGAGTGCAAAATTGCGAGAACAAGTGTCTAGCGAGTGCAGAATTGCAAGAACAAGTGTCTAGCGAGTGCAAAATTGCGAGAACAAGTGTCAAGCGAGTGCAGAATTGCGAGAACAAGTGTCTAGCGAGTGCAGAATTGCGAGAACAAGTGTCTAGCGAGTGCAGAATTGCGAGAACAAGTGTCTAGCGAGTGCAGAATTGCGAGAACAAGTGTCTAGCGAGTGCAGAATTGCGAGAACAAGTGTCTAGCGAGTGCAGAATTGCAAGAACAAGTGTCTAGCGAGTGCAGAATTGCAAGAAGAAGTGTATAGCGAGTGCAGAATTGCGAGAATAAGTGTCTAGCGAGTGCAGAATTGCGAGAACAAGTGTCAAGCGAGTGCAGAATTGCGAGAACAAGTATCTAGCGAGTGCAGAATTGCGAGAACAAGTGTCTAGCGAGTGCAGAATTGCGAGAACAAGTGTCTAGCGAGTGCAGAATTGCGAGAACAAGTATATGTGTCTAGCGAGTGCAGAATTGCGAGAACAAGTATCTAGCGAGTGCAGAATTGCGAGAACAAGTGTCTAGCGAGTGCAGAATTGCAAGAACAAGTGTCTAGCGAGTGCAGAATTGCGAGAACAAGTGTCTAGTGAGTGCAGAATTGCAAGAACAAGTGTCTAGTGAGTGCAGAATTGCGAGAACAAGTGTCTAGCGAGTGCAGAATTGCGAGAACAAGTGTCTAGCGAGTGCAGAATTGCGAGAACAAGTGTCTAGCGAGTGCAGAATTGCGAGAACAAGAGACTAGCGAGTGCAGAATTGCGAGAACAAGTGTCTAGCGAGTGCAGAATTGCGAGAACAAGTGTCTAGCGAGTGCAGAATTGCGAGAACAAGTGTCTAGCGAGTGCAGAATTGCAAGAACAAGTGTCTAGCGAGTGCAGAATTGCGAGAACAAGTGTCTAGCGAGTGCAGAATTGCGAGAACAAGTGTCTAGCGAGTGCAGAATTGCAAGAACAAGTGTCTAGCGAGTGCAGAATTGCGAGAACAAGTGTCTAGCGAGTGCAGAATTGCGAGAACAAGTGTCTAGCGAGTGCAGAATTGCGAGAACAAGTATCTAGCGAGTGCAAAATTGCGAGAACAAATGTCTAGCGAGTGCAGAATTGCGAGAACAAGTGTCTAGCGAGTGCAGAATTGCAAGAACAAGTGTCTAGCGAGTACAGAACTGCGAGAAAAAGTGTCTAGCGAGTGCAAAATTGCGAGAACAAGTGTCTAGCGAGTGCAGAATTGCGAGAACAAGTGTCTAGCGAGTGCAGGTTTGCGAGAACAAGTGTCTAGCGAGTGCAAAATTGAAAGAACAAGTGTCTAGCGAGTGCAGAATTGCGAGAACAAGTGTCTAGCGAGTGCAGAATTGCGAGAACAAGTGTCTAGCGAGTGCAGAATTGCAAGAACAAGTGTCTAGTGAGTGC